TTCTGCAAGTCCACTGCTGCAGGCAAAGCCATGCTGCAATGACATGCTACGTGGCAATGCACACTTGTTTTTACATCGTAAAAACCCATGGCTAGTTTATATAGTCATCCTAAAGGTCAAAAGGTTTCCTAACACATCTCAGGTTTCTGTGTTCAGTTTAAAATCAAAGGACATTTAAAAGAAATAGCTACAAGAAAACAATAAAATTCTGGATTTTTATTTATTTATCACATATTAAGCTGTTCGGTTTTTCTTAATATTGTAACTTAATAAAAAAAAGTTCAATGAAATGTTTAGCTTAATCTCAGTTTCATGTCAAACACGACAGCGACACCCAGCGTTTGCTTTATGTAATTAACATTTTAATAAAAAAGGTTCATTCAATCACAAATGAAATAAATGAATTTAAGAATAGTCAATGTAAAAAAAATCATAGCTTATTTTTCTCAAGCAAACATTTTTGTGTTCTGGTCAAACGTTTCTTCGATCCGGAAGTGAAGTTGACGCCTTAACGGAAGCTGCGTAAGATCACTTTCAAAATAAAATCAATGTTTCGTTTCCTTATGAAGAATTAACAATTTGAAAATTCAAAAAGCATAACAAGAAATAAAGTAAAGTCCCATTTAAGTATGCTTTCAATTGGGAAGGTTAGTGACGTAAACCTGGGTGAAATCTCGCTAAAAATCATTGTGGTTTGTATAAAACAGTCGTTTAGTAAATTTATTCTGAAGCTCTAACCGGAAACAGCTAGCTTATAACTTCTTACGAACCTGGTGGTGCGGCAGCTAGTAGAATAAGCTGCGTTTAGTTGTATTCATATGCAATAAACAGGGTTTTTACCCATTTTATTTCCCTCTGGAGGCTGTCTTTTGTTGGGAATTCGCTCCAGGATGATTCCTACCGAGGACGCGTCCGCCAGGAAGCGAGAGATCGAGGAGAAACTGAAGCAGGTCAGACCGGAAGAGGCTTCATTCTGCTAAATCTACAGCTTTAAATAAACAATTGTACTCACATCTGTAAATGTAATGTCAGAGTTTGTCAGACCGTGTGAGGTGAGCCGTTGTTATTTTTGTGGGATTTTACAGGAGCAGGAAACTCTGGCATTCATCAGAGAGAACATGGAGAAGAGCGATCAGCTGACCAAAGGCATGGTGAGAAAACAAACAAGGTTTGATCCAGACGAGATGCTTTTATTCATAAAACAAAGATTTAAACCTTTTTAAAACACTATGTGCTAGTTAAATATTTATGTTTTTATTTTTTCTGTTATGTATCAGTAGACCTTTAAATACTGACCATTTGACTGTAGATGAGAACAAAATGACATCTTTACATCTTTGTTGCTTTTTAAGTCATTTTATTTTAATTAAGATGGACTTTGTTAATGAGCTGTGGAAAAAATATGAAGGTTTCCTTAAGAATATGAGGCACCAAGTGTGAAATAAAATGTTAACAAATGTCACTAACACATTTTCACTATTTAGCTCACGGATATAAAATCCTAGTTAGAAATTTCCACAAACATTTTATGTCTTAGCTCACTGCTCGTACATTTAGTTAATTTTAACTAAATGTTAAATTTGAAAGTTAACTAATGTTACTAAATCCTAAAGCTAAATGGTGCTTATAGTGCTCAGCTCATGTTATGATGTCATCATCCTGAGGCGAAAACCGCTAATGCTGCAAATGTTGCTAATGTTGCTAATGCTGGTAACACTGCTAATTTTGCTAATGCTGCTAATGTTGCTAATGCTGCCAACACTGTTAATGTTGTTAATGCTGCTAATGCTGTCATCACTGCTAATGTTGCTAACACCGCTAATGTTGCTAATGCTGCTAACACTGCTAATGCTGCTAATGCTGCTAACACTGCTAATGCTGCTGATGCTGCTAACACCGCTAATGTTGCTAATGCTGCTAACACTGCTAATGCTGCTAATGCTGCTAACACTGCTAATGCTGCTGATGCTGCTAACACCGCTAATGTTGCTAATGCTGCTAACACTGCTAATGCTGCTAATGCTGCTAATGCTGCTAACACTGCTAACACTGCTAATGCTGCTAACACTGCTAATGCTGCTAATGCTGCTAATGCTGCTAACACTGCTAATGCTGCTGATGCTGCTAACACCGCTAATGTTGCTAACACTGCTAACACTGTTAATGCTGCTAATGCTGCTAATGCTGCTAACACTGCTAATGCTGCT